TTGATAACTAAAACTATTCAATACTACCTTTGTGACAACGAAGAAAGATATGATTTTTGATGTTTGAAATAGTAAGAAAACATATTGCATGATAAAACGACATTCATCGTTCTATGCACACATACCCAATGCTCTACAATCGAAGAGCAAGAGCTTTGTCCATGCATGTTTTTGAAGTACCTCAACGATATGAAATTTTATTAAAACGTTTAAAAATAATAATTCGCCTTCCCTAGAACCTCAGTAACTGATCGTAGACTTACCTTTCACTGTAAAAGTGATATTTCCCAGGATGGCCAAAAACAGCAAAGCTGTAAATGAAGGTGGAAGATACATTCCCAAACGCATCTTGTCGAGTCAGAGTCAGGAGATGCACTGTTCTCTGCGTCTATCAGAGACTTGTTTTATTGCAACTCTTCAAGCTGATGTCATACGTAAGCAGAGGTATTACGTGTCTCAGTAGAGAATACATTGGAGTTTTAACTCATAGATTTGCAGGTCAGGTTAAAATCACTTTGAAATCAATTCCTCGAATTCTTTCACGAACTGAGTGAGAATCGCATGCATGTATCACGGAAAAATTGCTGCTCTTGAACTGGACTGAAAATGAAAACGAGTTACCTAGTATGGGGAAAGTACAAAAGATGCGTCCAAGAAAATAATTTCGTGCCGTTATGACTAAAGGTATTGTGGAAGCTAACAACCCTTTGGCCAATCGGACGCTTCAAGCGGACTTACAGATAATGGGTGACATGAAAGCTTAGTTACAAAATATAATATTCATGACATTAGGAGCTGAAAGGGGGTTAAACCTTAAAATATCTACTAATCCAACCAAAAATATCTCATAGATTTACAGCGAGTCTGGGCACGTTACAGAGAAAGTTTTTTCTATACCTGCTCCACGTTAACTTTAAAGGCCTCGTGTCATGCATGAGTTGAGCGGAAACAACACACAAACCCAAAACTATTGAGGCTAAAACACTTAAAATCTCTTCTCTCAACCTCTCTTCAACCCTTACTTACATCTTATTTGTCTATCCCGTTGTTTGCCTTCTACCTATTAACGTATCAGCTCTAGTTCTTTGTTATACAGAAGGATATTAAATAATTTACAGGGTAGCTTTCTCAAAATGAAAAAAACTAATGGACTTTTATGTCCTTGGAACATAATTTCATCACTTCATTTGGCGAGGGGATTGGGGAGAGGGGGTGAGTCTCCCCAATCCTTTCGCGGCTCTTCGCGCGCCTCTTCACGTCGCTCCCCACTATCCGAACGCCTGGAACAGGCTATGCAAGTTATAAGGAAATATTTTAACAAATAGCTGATCTGTAACCAGAGAGAAATCTAAGTTAACTGAAAGCACACCGAAATAATAATTAAATTCTCGACTGTGCCACGGAACGTAACAATAGACAGCACCGTTTATTTAAAGTCGTGAAAAGAAGCTACAATTGTAGGTGAGATGTCCAAGGTTAATACAAGCCAAAATTTCCTTAACATAGCTATAATTGCATACTAAGGAGTTTTGCAAATTTAAGAAAACTATTTCGTCAAACTTGAAAAGGCTTATAGAATTGGCTATCCCAACCCATTTGTGTTTGGGTTACTAACTTGTATACTTTGTTCTGATAGATGACAGAAATACCTGCTGTTACCAAAGGAACAACAAAGACTTGCAAAATTCCTTTTTTTTACAATTTTAATTGCTAACATAACTAATTAATACTGTTAATACTAAAATGTTTTCAATTTCTTCAAAGTTTTGCAAAACGTTCTTTATATAGAGCTAGGCCAGCATTTTTCGCCTCCCCCTTAAATTAGCTGCCTGGGAATATGTTCCTCTCATGATTTACAGCTTAAAGGAGCTAAACATTTAACCTAAATTGGTGTTTTTTCTACTTTAATAAACAATTATGTCAGTTTAGGTTTCTTAATTTCAATTTGAAGATAATTTTGTATATCACAAAAACTATGACTTAAAATATCGTGATGTAGCTAATTTGCAAGTAAGCATTTGGGTTTACGATTACAGAACAAGAGAGAACTGGCTTCCTTTCTAAATGCTTCATTTCCAAACGCATAAATGACAGGATCGAGAATTGAACTTGAATAACACAAACCTTCAGCAATAGGCCGTAACCAATGTTCGGCATCTTTCCCAAGAAACATGAAAGACACGATCAAATCTAACACTGTTATGGGACCCCAGCTAAAAAGGAAGCTGAAAACCAGTAATATTAAACAGGATCGATACAGTTTTCATCTTGGACCTGACAACTGAATGGTTTAGCATTGAATGCTTTGCTCTGTTTGACAAGAAATTAAACACTTTAGTGTAACAGATTATCATGATGCAAAGAGGCAAGAAAAATCCACACACAAAGTAAATTGTAAATGCAATCTGACTTCGTAACGCTGCACGCGGCCCAGCCACGCAATGCACTCTTGGCGACGTGTAGGTAAGATGTTCTGGGAGTTCACTGCTGTTGTTTGTAATGTTAGGTATTGAACTGTTTCCTGGTCTGCTAAACTGGCGTGTAAATCGTCTTGTTGTTGCGCTGTAGATAAAAGCTGCTGATATTGAAAGTGCATAGATCCATATCAGGGCCACATTTCTCTTTCGATGACAGTAGCCTGAGTAGCGGCTGTTTTTGAAGCTTTGCAGTGGACGAATGATGTTTATACTGCGATCCAGAGCAATACCTGCTAACAGGACAAACAGGACTGCTTCACAAGTGTACTGGAACAACACAATGATTTTACAATGGGAGAGCGAAAGAACACCATGGCTAACTCTCTTGGCGATCAGCTCATGGATTCCAAGTATCCTGAATACAATGTCCGCTAAAGCCAGATGAAAAATGAAAAATTTGGACAGCGTTTTACGGTGATCTTTCTTCTTCGTCATTACAAAGCAGACTAACAAATTGGATGCTAGGCCGGCGGTTAAGAAAATGATACGAAAAACGTTCAAAACAATATGGAATATTGCCATATCTTTTGAAAATTTCGTGAAATTCCGCAGCTCGCTATATCCATCTTAATCTCCGTAATAACTGAGATTTTATGTCATAAAATACTGTGCGTTTATGGAGCTTTGTTTTTAGCAAAGCCTCTAACAAAAACGTTGGCTCTAAAACAAATAAAAGAATAGAACAACAGCCTTTATGTTTTTTCACCTGAATTTCCTTTTTTATGTTAAACATGCACAAATATTTTACAATACAATAAGATGCAACGAAATCAGCGCTAGTCGTGCGAGCATCGAACTTGTGTCTAGAAGCCAGCGGGGATCCCTTCAGTTATTGGCTAAAACTCAGTTTTAGCTTCAGGCTCGAAATACATTAAAGAAATGCGACTGTTTAATTCTTAGCTACCAACCAGGTTATATTTAATTTGTTAAGTTTAGTAAATATTGAGATATATCCATCATAAAGATGTCATTGAACTAGCATGAGGTCGGTATCGGGGAAAAGGTGGCTGACACCGTCAACAACTTCGCCGACAAATAAATGCATCGATCCTTTCTTATAACAGAAAATAATGTTTTAAGAAAGCAAATTGGCGAGATTAAGTGGTGAGAGCATTGCTTCGGGAGCCAATCAGAACGCTGTTTTTCACTGGGCCAGTCTGTCAATATATATGATTTGTAAGGTGTAAATACAGATGGGCCCTTACAGTAAATAGAAATGACTTCATGGAATAAAATATAAAAGAAAATCACCCACACTGGCGTAAAAAGCACACAAAAGATAAACAAAACAAATGGGCATGAAATCGATTTGCTGTTTTTTTTTTCACTATCCGCAAAAGACGCAAAAGACGTTCCCACAAAACATCATTTCCTTTATCTTTCTTTCTTATTTGCCCATTATATTAATGTATTTCATGGATTAGGAACTCTCAACAAACCCTTTTGGAGATCCCCTGTTACAATGTTTATGATATATTAAAATATATGGCTACACATATATGGCTATACTCTTTTAGTATAAAAACAGTTTTAAAATGTAGAAGAACTACAATTATTTTAGTTTACGTTGTTTTTAGAAAAAATTGTAAAACGACTTTTCTCTATTAATAAAGAGTACACTCGTATGAAGCAACAGGGACATCGGATTGCGATCTTTACGGCAAACTTTAACTAAAATAGTTGCATATTTAGTTCTTCTCCGTTTTAAAACTATTTTTATGCCAACATAGTTTAAGGAGCTCAAGAAAATCACGATGTTTTACAGCTTGTGCCCGAAATTTCCTCGCTTCTATGTTTAGCTGTATTGTTATGCAAATATTTCAGGTTAACCGTGAAAAGGGCTATTAGTTGATTATCAACTTCAAGTTGATAAAGGTACATTAACCATCGAAGGGAATTTGAAAAGCTGACGTTTCGGGCGTTAGCCCTTCATCGAAGCAAAATCAGTGGAGAATTATGGGTTGCGTGTGTGTTAATAACTTTGAGTTAAGAAAGTGAGTCAAGATCACCATTATACATGATGTTCCTTGATGATGTTTTGTTCCACTTGATCTAAAAGATTCCGGATCAGAAGGAAATGGGGGAGGCGGGGGGGGGGGGGGGGGGGGGGGGGGGCATGATAACGATAATGTATTAAGTTGATATTCAAATGCACTTTACAGTCAGGGGTGAGATCGGACGTCAGCATATAAAGGCGCCTATGGCAGCCACTATCAGTCCATTTAGGATCTCAACACACCCACCCAACCCATGCGCGGAATGTGAACAGGTCGGACCACAACACCGAGACTACGCCCCCTACCGGCTTTTCGAACAGCGACGTGGGTTCTTTAACGTCCCCCTATGAGGAGATGTTGGAAACAAGGCCAACGGCTTAACGTCATCGTCCAATGACGCGATCATCTAAACTGAAACAAGGTATTAAGCTCATTTTCTTCTAGATTTATATATTTTACAACAGTTTGGAGCATTAAAAAGTTCGCTGGCTGTTAATATTAAAAGTTCGCACAGCCAGTTATTAAGACCCTGGTTTGGTCCAGCCGGGATTTGAACCCGCGACCTCCCGCTCTGCAGTCTAGTGCCCTACCAACTCAGCTAACCAGGCAGCGGTTAATTAGTACGTTCATAGCAGGGTACCTCCGGTTCAGTCCATTAAGTTAAATTTCCCAGAAGCCCCTGTTGCAATTATATCCATTTAATGCATTTGTGATTTTTGGACAACATTAAATCGAGTTAACGTTCTACAGTCTGTAACAGTTAATTAGAGCAACTTGTCACAGAACTGAGACAATCCAGTTAAGACAGGAGTCATAGTCCCTGATTATGGCTCTCGTGGCTCCGTGGTGGCATCACTTTGCACGCGCAAGGTTTTAATATTAAGCCCTATAAATACTAATTTAATAATACTTCTTTTTGAAAGGATTGTTACTTTTCATTCATTTATTATTAGTTTCCTTTATATTACTTAGAATTGACCTATTTCCAAGATTTCAATCAAACAATCAATCAAAAACTTTATTAATGTGTCAGTAAATGTTTTAGCTGCATGAGGGAAAGCCCTCTACTAATAGGGGACACCTACCTAAAGACACCTACCTAAAGGACACCTACCTATAGATTTAGTTACTAAAAGCTTATTTCACACACATGATGATCTATACTGTCTACTATCACAGCGATCACTAAACGTTTCCAGTTTTTATTCCTGCGCAAATACTCAATAGTTAGTTGGTCTCATTTTCATAGTGACTGTCTTCAGAGAGTAGTAATAGCCACGCCATGTTCTCCAAACACAGCCATGAGCGTAAGCGTTATTCACGCGGCCAGTGTAAGGTCCTTGAAAGTAGATTCCATTCAAATTAGAATCATGACATGCTCTGTACCACCATGCTGCTCTGTGTTCAACTGCGCAATCCTTTCCCCACACGTCATTATCACGGTCTTTAGTCGAGAAGGCCATCCCGTTACCCTTGGACAATGAATCGCCCGCTGTACCTAAAAGCGAGGAATAACATGGAAATGAAAATGAAATTCGCGCCTATTGTAGAGGTGGATTACGCATGGGCAGGGGTCCGACGAGACAAGATGATCTTTGTACGGACCACCTCTAGGCACACGACAATAATTAAAATTACTATATGTTTATTCCTATGTTTAATCCAGACATTCCCAGTCCCCTCGCCCCGGTTGTTCGGAAGCCGATTAACGCGTATAATCCGCGATTAAAAGTCATAACCAAAGTTTTACTCCTTTTAGTTAAAAGCGTTTTCCACTGGCAGTTTAAAAATGAAGGACAGAAATTAAAATAAAAACCGACTCAACGCATAAGTTTGATTTTGAAGTTGACGCTACCTTAAATCTGACGCTAACTCAGTAGCGGATCCAGGGGGAGGGTCCGGGGTCCGAGCCCCACCCCAAAACATGAGCTCTGGCCTGCCCTTTTGACTGATTTCCAAGTAATTAAAACAGTTTTGAAACTATAATCTTACAACTGAAGGATCGCAATATGACTATTATTATATCTGGTTCACTTTTATTTATTCAATGCTAATGGTAATTACTTTTTTAAGGAATGTAGCGGGAAAAACGTATAATACTAATATTTAAAAGTCGAAAGAGAGCATAAAATAAGAGAGACTTGAACTAGCTAGTGTGCAGCAGTCATAATAGCCGAAGCTATTGAGTTTACTACTCAACGGTTAACCAATGAATTAATCAAAGACGGAGAAAACAGTTGGAAAAAAGTGAAATTAGTGATATTGAAACTATTGATCCCTGATTGATGAGTATGGGTCTAAGTACAGCACATTATTAGTTTGCACAGTTACCAAACCGCTGACTCGTACTTACCGGAATACGCACCAAGCTTCAGCTTGTAATTATTGCCTTCATCTTCCACTACGAAGAGATCGTATTCCGCGTAACCCTTCGCTTGGTTAAAATCTTCTAAATCCACTCGTAATTCATTGGTTGTTTGACTTGTCAGGCGTTGGATTTTATCCAAACCCAACCAAAACTCTCCGTCCACGAATCCAAATCCTTTCTTATAAGCGTCCCAGCCTCGGTAGAAATCCACTGCTCCATTCAATCTCTTTTGAAACACCGTCCACCCTCCCCCACTGGTGGTCTGATCACAGTAAGCTTCGAATGCGCTGCTGTTATCAGGGCGTATGGTATACACTCCACTCAGTGTATTCCCTGATTTGTAAGCCTCTGCGCAATTTTTTGGAACTAGAGGGTAAAAGTGTACATAAATAACACGCTTTAGTCTGGAAAATATGTAGCAATCTCTTATTTCATTGTACCTCTCTGCCATCCCCATCACAAAGTAGAAACATTGACTCTATTCAGTTCTATAAGCTTCTCAGCAATACTTACTTCGCTTTGATGCACATTCACCGTCGCAAACTGCGTCTAGTTTAGCCTCCATGACCTCCAATTTCTTTTTCATCTCTTTTACAAGACTAACAAGCTCGCTAAAAGCTCGAGGGGCTGGTCCGCCATGGCATATCTGCTGCACGACACAATTGCCAGCGTTATTTTGGTTTGTAGACACGTTGCTCGTATCTTTGGTTTTAGATTGAGAATAGCCGACATCACAGTTAAAGCCAAGAAGTACTGACATAAGAAGTAATATGTTTGTAACAGTCTTCATTATTGCTCAGTTGGGTTGAAGAGAAGCTTGTATGAGATGTCCACGTACTAGACTGACCTAAGCTAAGTTTTAAGACTTTAATGTCACGTTCGACACCGACGTCATTATGCCTATCATATTTCTAATCTACTGCAGAAAGCCTGATCACGGGTTAAGGCATATCTTGCCCTATTATATATAATTATATTAGCATACTTACTAACAACTACGTCGTATAGTCATTTAATTAAATTTGGCATTAATTTGAGTCTCATTTTTAGAACACATACATCATTTTGTTTCTTGCTGATACAATAGTGGCTGAGAAGAATGGAGAAAGTCAGTTATCTTTCTTTTGATTGGTTGAGAGACCACTACGTCACTTGATATGACCACCTCTGCGAAGACACAGATAAAACAAAGGCAGCTCGCGTTTCCCGGCATTACATATTCAAAAGTACACGAAAACATAGCGAAAAACAAGCTCACTGATCGAATGATAAAACATGCATTATTGAACTCGGTTATCACAAATTTTTCAACAAATTATCACGATACCCATATATGGTCAAGAAGCCCTTGTTATCAAATTTTAACTGATTGCTCACCACGGACAATTAACAATTATCCTGCGAAATCGCGCGGAATATCGCCTGATGCTTAGCTGACGAGGCCGTTAAAAGGCCGAGTTGGCTAAAATCATGCGATATTCCGAAAGTTGAGCAGGATAATCAGATTATGGCTCCTGGTTATATACAAATGAAATAACATGTGGAAAAGGCATAAAGGATTGCCTACTCCATCCCTTTTGTTTGCCGGTGACTAACTTATATATTTTGTCCTGATAGATGACACAGAAATACCTGTTTCCAAAGGAACAACAACGACTTGCAAAATACCTTTTTACAGTTTTATTTGCTAACATAACTAAATACTGTTAATACTAAAATGTTTTCAATTTCTGCAAAGTTTTGCAAAAACGTTCTTTATAATAGAGCTAGCCAGCATTTTTAGCCTCCCCTTTAACTTAGCTGCCTGGGAATGTGCAGTTCTTTCATGATTTACAACTTAAACGGGAGCTACCGGTCACGGTTCAAGTTGTGCATCTTGAACATTTTAGCCTCCTTAACCATCCTTGTTCCTGTTTGGTTTCTTATTACCTATTTGGTGTTTTTCTACCTTAATAAACAATTAGGTTTAGGTTTCTTTCAATTTGAAGATAATTTTTTACATCACAAAATTGATTTAAAATATCGTGACATATTAAGAGGTTTAAAGAAGGGATAGAAGAAAGAAAATGATTTTTGGAACACCAACAGACAGTTGATACCAACTGTCTGTTGGTGTCGATCTACTAATTTTAACTTCAAATTCTAATTTTAAAACTACATTAAATCTTCAATATTTCTTATTTCCCTGAATTTTACAAATCCTTTGAGAAAAACTATTTCCTCCAAACATACCCAAAAATCACCCAAAAATTTACAAAACACCCCATAGCATTTAAGTCGCGGAAAAATGGCATTGCGGGTTAAGTCCCGCCTTAATTTGCAAGTAAGCATTTGGGTTTACGATTACAGAACAAGAGAGAACTGGCTTCCTTTCTAAATGCTTCATTTCCAAACGCATAAATGACAGGATTGAGAATTGAACTTGAATAACACAAACCTTCAGCAATAGGCCGTAACCAATGTTCGGCATCTTTCCCAAGAAACATGAAAGACACGATCAAATCTAACACTGTTATGGGACCCCAGCTAAAAAGGAAGCTGAAAACCAGTAATAACAGGATCGATACAGTTTTCATCTTGGACCTGACAACTGAACGGTTTAGCATTGAATGCTTTGCTCTGTTTGACAAGAAATTAAACACTTTAGTGTAACAGATTATCATGATGCAAAGAGGCAAGAAAAATCCACACACAAAGTAAATTGTAAATGCAATCTGACTTCGTAACGCTGCACGCGGCCCAGCCACGCAATGCACTCTTGGCGACGTGTAGGTAAGATGTTCTGGGAGTTCATTGCTGTTGTTTGTAATGTTATGTGCTGAACTGGTTCTGTTAAACTGGCGTGTAAATCGTCTTGTTGTTGCGCTGTAGATAAAAGCTGCTGATATTGAAAGTGCATAGATCCATATCAGGGCCACAGTCCTCTTTCGATGACAGTAGCGGCTGTTTTTGAAGCTTTGCAGTGGATGAATGATGTTTTTACTGCGATCCAGAGCAATACCTGCTAACAGGACAAACAGGACTGCTTCACAAGTGTACTGGAACAACACAATGATCTTACAATGGGAGAGCGAAAGAACACCATGGCTAACTCTCTTGGCGATCAGTTCATGGATTCCAAGTATCCTGAATACAATGTCCGCTAAAGCCAGATGAAAAATGAAAAATTTGGACAGCGTTTTACGGTGATCTTTCTTCTTCATCATTACAAAGCAGACTAACAAATTGGAGACTAGGCCG